TCCCAAATGCCAGTACAGCATAGGTAATGAATTTGCCAGTTAAGATTGTGAAGAACTGTCAGTGACATCAAATACTGTGATGATCAGTCTCAGCCAGCTGCAGTGCTATGGTGTATGAAATTAAATAAACATAGTGTAGAATTCCCATTCATACTCAACTTGTTTTCAACAAATAGCACAACTGCATTATCTCTACCTTACTTTAAAAGCTGAAGCACAAAAATGCCCAAGTATCCAACATTACAAATCAACGTTTTGCCTGATATCTTTCTGGCAGCTCAAAAATATAGAAGCAGAAAAGTGCAGATGCTATAAATGATCTATGCCTGCTACAAGGAAGAATATCCTAATTAAATTAAGTTTTTAACGTCATGAAAACCTGAATGTCATGCATGCTTTAGCTAAGCTTCCAAACAGAAGTGTTTGGGTATCATGGGAGTGCAGTGCATGAGTCAAAAAAAGCAGCCATCATTATGAACACCTCACCTCCACCAGACATCTCTGCATACCCTTCAGGCTCACAAGAAGCAACCTACAAATATGTATCACTTTGAATTCCTCCCAGAAGCCAGTGCAGTGGTATTTGAATGGGCAAATACATAAAAGATAAAAAGAATACATAAAATTGAAAATCACAGAGGGTGGAAGCAGGTCGTAAATAGGGACAGCAGTTTTGCATTAGTCAAAGAATATTCAGAACTACTACAATGAATATGTATGTTTTTTAAAATTTCCAGATGCATTAAAATACATGATTATTGATGATCTGCATGAAGTTCAAGCTAGTGGGGGTTTGGGAGAACATCCCTAGGGACAGGCCATCCCCTGGTCAGGCTTGGTGAACAGACCATTTGTGGCACAGATAATTTCCGCCAACATGGACCTGGCAAATGTGAAGCCTTCTCCAGTTGTTTTTGGTATGTCTTATACATCTTTAGAAAAGAAAGTATCAGAACTCAAAACTATTAAACTAATGTAATTAGTAAAGTGTCTTTTGATAATGTAAGATCAGATAAGTTTGCATAGGGAGATTGTGAAAGGGAAAAGAAACCTGCCTGATAACAAGGCAGGCTTGTAGAGCATCTTTTAGCATAAGAATCTAGGAGCCATCTGGAGGAAAATGAGAGTTTAGAATCCCAAATATAAATTTGAATAGCGATGCATAAATAATTAGATGGGTAAGGGGTGAGTGTAAAGCAGTTTATAAATAGTATGACAGTGCTTGATCATCCCAACTGTATATAGGGTAGCGTGATGAAAACTTTTAAAAATTATTGATGCTGCTGATTAGGGAAAAAAAATTAAAACTTCCTTTTGCTTTGATGTTTGCGTTCTGTAGAGGCAAACCAAGTGTACTTTGGGATCTCTACTCACTTTTTAGATATATAAGGTTGATAATGGATCAAGACTTTTAAGAATCTTCTTGTAGAATAAGAAATATAATAATCAAGACAGCAAAGTAAGAAAATGAAGCTGTACATAATTGAGAAAGCTCACCAACTCTCTCTGAATATCTCTGGGCATATTTCTACTGCCAGAACCCTTTAGGCCATTTATTGTTTAGGTTACACAGATCCACAGGTTTAGATCCTGGGAGCTACTCCGTCATTTCCTATATTTATTTAGCTTTAGAACAGTGCCAGACTGATTTGCAGTTTACTTTTGTTGAAAGTGTGTTATGCAGGAGTAGGAAAAAGTGCTTCATGCACCATGGCCCCTGCCCTCAGATCTTCAGATCAGATATCTCTCACTGCCTGTACCGGTACAGAAGTAATAAACTTCTATCACAATTTTACAATGAAAAAGCCAAACATATAATGTATTTTTTGCCTGTTCAGAGGCTGACAGTGACTGGGGTCTATTCTACAAAGCTTTCTCCAGACTACCCAATGGCTCCTGTCTGGCTATCGCTTCTGACTCTTTGGTCCTCTTCATATGGAGTCTAATCTTGTATTATTGCAATTAACGGAGACTGGTCTCTGAAAAGCCAGCTTTCAGAGCTGTGAGGAGAGTTAATGGGACTGAGTTGTTTGTCTGCCATCAAAATGATGCTTTCTACTGCGATTCTGACTTAATTTTCCTCAAACCAGATGAAATATTACACCATTTGTACTTCTTGAAAGTAATTCTGTGTCATTGGTCTTGCATTGTTCTTCTGCAACCTATTATGTGCTCCTGTGTTCATAAATAATATATCCACTAGTTCATACAGCTAAAATTTTTGTGTGTGCATGGGTTTAAAGCAAACATAGAAACATATAAAATACAAATTAAATTGATGCCCACTGTACTTGTAACACAGCCAAATTCTTAATATTTTATAGTGCATATTCCATTAAATAAATAATAACTAAACTGATCTATGCTACAATATGTGTATACATACACATTTTATGATGCCTGTAAATAACATTTTAAAGCCTGTTCACACATCAAAAGACAGGTTGTTTATTTCTCTGTTAAAACAAGCCAAGAATTGAACTCCTCCTATTATGTAAACAGTGGTGACAGACGCTTTCAAGGAAGCTTAACTTCAATAAAAATAATAGTTTCCCATTTTAAAATCAATACTAATATACCATAAATCCCCCGATGAACTCTGGCTTCCTTACATGCTCTCACATTTTGTGTATTAGGGGCACAGCACTACTCTAGATATCAGAATATAATAATATGGCAATATATATAGATATAGATATATATTTAAATGTTAAAACATTTTCAGGTCAACTTGAGTAATGAATATATTTCAAATATATGCCTTTTTCTATAAATAAAGGTAATTAATTTTCTTTGCAACATGGGTGCCTTTGTATGTGGCTAGCAAACTAGCAAAACAATTCTTGTATTTCAGTTCAAAATGCACTTGTGCCATAGATGAAGCTTTAACTTTTTTCTTTTTCGTACTAAAATTGTATTTGCAGTAGAGTTTCAATATAATTTGTGAGATTTCTTTAGGGTAGACATTTTAAACAACTCATACAAAAGAGAATTTATCTTATTGACAAGAAAGCTAGGTATAGTCTATTCATTTCTCAAGCAGACCTTTATGAATCACTTTAAAAGGACACTACAGCTGAAGACTGAAGAGCAATATTTATCAACATTAAATAAAACATTCGGTGAAATATGTATAAATATTTCTTCATATGAACATAACACAAAATTAAATAGTTCAGATACACAGACACCATTTAATATATTTCCACTGTTGTCAAAATCATCTGTAAACACCATCTCACACTGAATACAAAAGCAGCTTTAACATCAGTTCTGTGTTCACAACACTGATGCCCCTTTGTAAAATAAGATACTTGTTTTATTTTCAGCAAAATAAGAGTCTAAGCAATTAAAAAAAAAGTTTTGGTCAGTTCAAAGGAGAATACAAAATAATCTTTCAACATGTAACTGAATCAGATTTAGAGCAACAGTTTAAAGTACAATCCTTTCCCCAGGGGACCTCTGACTTTTATAAATCATGTTCGGTGCAGACCACATCACAAATACCAGGAAATACTGGTCATATCTAAACTATAAATATTAAAGCCCTTTTAAAATTGTCTTTATCAAAAATTGCCAGGTTACAAATTGGCAATATCACATTTTTCACACCACTGAATAACCTGGCGTCAAACAGATTTAGGTGCACTTCTCCTGATGATTTTTAAAACAGGTTGTGGAAAACAAACATTTTTTAGTGAGCATCCTTCACGTGCAAAAATAAGCATTTCTTTGAATCAAATCATTTTTATCTGAAGATCACCTGGGCAGACAGTGCAAGCAGCAGGGCTCCACCAGCTTTTGTCAGAAAATTGCAACTTGAACTTTCATCGGAAGCCGTACAGATACTGCACACAGGATCTGAGCTGGCTCTGAGAAGGGTGGTGCATCCCCACGGTGCAGCTCAGGACAAGGTGTTGCAGGAGCCATGTGTGCCTCCTGTGCAGCACAGCCTCCCCAGCAGGACACGGGGCTGCTGCTGATGGTTGTGCCTGGCTCCTGAGCAGCTCCCTTTGAGCACTGGTACCGTGCAGCCCAGATCTGGGTTCTCATCGTCCTGTGCCCTGCAAAGACAGCTTCATGCTCTTCCCTGAATGTAGCCTTCAATTCCTTTCCCCTTTGTATCTTTTAAAGAGGCATGATCACTTTGGGGAGAGACTCTGCTCAAGATTAAGGTTTTACTGGGCAAATACCCCATTATAAAACTGTAAACTCACAGGCTATGTTTTGGTTTTCTCAGTTTGAACTGCGGACACTGTGTTTTGGTTCAAGAGATAAACTTGAATTTCAGGTGGCAAATAATGAGCTATGTAGTTATAACACAATTTTCTGACTTCAAAAAATTTCAATCACATGTAATCATGATTGGGGGCCCTGTAAAACCTGGAACAATAGGTCACCTCTTTCCTGGTATGCATTTCAGACGTGTGAATGCATGCTGTGCATACACACACACATTCACACACATATAACATCAGCTGAACACATTCTCAGATACTCAGAAATCAGGAATCAGGGATACAATTAACAATATACCAGAAGAGAAGTAGACAGGAAGCTCTACCGGGACAACAAGAGGCAATTTTTCAACCTATACAGTGTCTCAAATAATTTCACAATCCTGTTTTGCTAGGTTGCTACATATGTATGTAACTTGAATTTAAAGTTGTTGGATTCCTAGGAAAAAGAAGAGTTGGGCTAGCTAGATGTGCTTACCTGAGATCCCAGAGTTGATTATAATCAAAGAACTGGGCAGATCAGTAATGGGTTTATAATTGCTATACAGTTTCTCACAAATTCATAGGAAAACTTTATTAAATCTTTCACTCCTTAGTAAAAATGTTGAAGTTTCTTAGTTTTTGCTGAATGTGGATTGACTTTTATATTAAACTGGATTTATTGAAAGGATAAATAAGCCTGGCAGCTGCTTTCATCTCTTGATGTTTAAATCATAGAATCAGCACCCTGGAACCACCTTCCCACCCCAACCCATCCCATCCCATCCCTCACTATCCTGCCCATCCTGCCCATGCCATCCTGTTCTGTCCTATCTCATCACATCCCATCTCACCCTGTCCCATCCCATCACATCCCTGCTTCGTTATTTTTTTATGTAAAAAATACTATTCTAAGAAGCCTCCCTAGGGATCCGCTTATGAAAAATGACGGACTGCCTTTGCTGATACTGCTGCTTGCGTCGTTTTCGTTTGTCACACTGGCACAGCAGCAGCATCTTGAAAGTGTTTCTGAATGTTTTGTTACACAGTGCATAGCACATGGGGTTCACTGTGCTATTGATGTAGCAAAGCCAATACCCCAGGTGCCAGAAAGTTTTGGGGATACAGGTGCAAAAGGTGTTCACCAGAACCATGATGTTATATGGGGTCCAGGTAATGATGAAGGCAAACAAAATGGCACTGAGTGTCTGTGCCGCTTTCTTTTCTTTGATGAGTGACATTCGTTTTCGTTTTGTGATCTGACTTCTGGTCTTCAAGGCAAACTTTTTTGCCAGGGTTGCTTCCTTAAAGGACAAGGGCAGGGCTGTCGACGTCTTGGTCACTGACGAGATGCCATCAGAAGCTGTGGTTGTCTCTTCTGACTCTGGTTCAATTGGAAGCTTAGTAAAGCTCTTTTGGAAATTTCCACCATCCTGAACACTTTTGGGAGGGTGCAATTTTTTAGGTTTCTTTTCCTTGGATTCTGTGTCGGATTTCTGCAGTTCATCCCCTGACTCATGCAAATCTTCCGAGGAGGGTAGTTTTGTGGAATTGAGGATAGCACTGTGACCAGGAAGCTTCAGCACAATTGAATAGATGGCTCTGGTCTCTGCAGCAATGTCTTCTTCATCAGAGGAGGCTGAATTTTCAAGGGAGGCAGCAGCATCATTGTTGTTCCAGCTGTCACTGCTGCTATGCTCTTGGTCCCCCTGATCTGTGCTGGGCTCCCAGCTCTTCATTGTGAGCCAGAAGTGGCAGCGTCTGTATTTCTTTCGGGAGCTGCGTTTCATGTTCTGCCGTTGCAGCTCGTAGCTGCTGCAGCTCCGGGAGCTGCCTGTCTGGTGCACAAAGCGTGCTGCCTCTGCTTCACTGCCCGAAGCCTGCAGCCCTGCTAACTCTTTGGTGCGTTTCTCCGTCTCCTTGTAGATCCTCCAGTACAAAATACTCATAATGGTGACCGGCAAATAAAAGGCAGCTATGGCAGTGCCAAAAGTGATGACAGGTTCGGTTAGAAACTGGATGAAACATTCATCAGGAGGCACAGTCCTCTTCCCAACAAAATACTGCCAAAACAAGATGGCAGGGGCCCAAAGAACAAAAGAGACGATCCATGCTAAACCAATCATTATCCCAGCCCTTTTAGTTGTTCGTTTGGCTCTGTATGTTAGTGGCCTAGTGATGGAAAAATACCTGTCAAAACTTATCACGAGGAGATTCATGACAGAGGCATTACTGGCGACATAGTCAATGGAGAGCCAAAGATCACAGGCCAAACTTCCCAAGGCCCAGTGGTCCATGATGATGTACGTGGTATAAAGATTCATGGAAAGAACACCGATGATCAAATCTGCACAAGCAAGGCTCAGCAAGAAGTAGTTGTTGACTGTTTTCAGTTGTTTGTTAACCTTAAACGCAACAATCACTAAGATGTTTCCTATGATGGTCACCAGTGCAAGAATCCCAGTGAGGAAAGCAATCAAAACTACCTGCCAGACAGTGTGTCCACCCAGAGGGTCTTTGCTTGTGGCATTTAGGGTCATGTTTGTTGATTCCACAGTGGAGAAAGGAAAACTCTCTGTAGTCTGAGGAAAATCATAGCTGCCAATGAGTGATGCTGCTTCATCAAGGAGTCCTGATCCATGTGAATCTCTCTTCCAGAGGGAGCTCACATTTGGAAAAAGAGGCGAGGATGAACTGTTATTTTGCATGATCATTGTGGCTCTCTGACATAGTCTGTAGCAGAGAAAAACCAAACAAAAATCAAGTGAACAGGTGAAGATATTGAATAAATAATTGTCCTCGTACATAAAATCACTTTAGCACTTTAAAAGATGTCTTTAAAAAGTCAAGCTGCCATTGACACATTTCAAGGCAAATCTGTATGTGATAGTACTCAGCTTGCAGACTGAGATTAATCTGAGCTCTTTATAGTGATCACATTGTCTTTCCTTATAAACATTCAATAACAGAGGAACCAAAATCCCAGGAGAATTTGAACCCACAGTAGTATTAAAATGCCCCTGAACTCTAACTCTGAATTAAAACAGTCCTTGCTGGATCTGTCCTGAACTCAACATTTGAAAAATACACTATTCTGGAACCTTCAAAAATTAAGTTCCAATCATATGGAGCCACAAATCTTCCAAGTTCCAATCAACACTGGTCCCCAGTGCTATCCTGGCTCTAGCAAAACAGAGCCACAGCCTCTGTTGCCTCTAGCTACAGCTGATGACAAACAAAAATATTGTTCTGCTTTTACTTAAACTATGGACATACATCATTTCACTGTGTCAAGCTACTCTAACCGGTGAGGTGGCAAAACTCGTCCCATTTTCATTTACCTTTCAGCTATCTGATAAAAGTAGTAAAAGTTCTCATTAGGACTTTTTGCACACGCCACTAATAATTTATTTCATGTACGTTTTTATACTTGGACTAGGGATTTTGCACATCTAATGACTTCAAAATTTCTTTAAGGGCAACACATGGTAAAAATTCCTTTGAAACTATGGTCTCCAGAGTCAGGAAAAACCTTTGGTAGATGTATGTCAAAGCAATCATTAAACACTTTGGGAAAATAGGGAAAAAAAAAAGCATGAAAGGGATTAATAATTAAGCTTTAATCCTTTTCCCCAAGTACTAACATAAAATGAAAACATGCTCAGAATAGGAACTTGCATTTATTTTATTTCATTAGCTTCTCTAGTCATCTGACTGGATCCATAGTAATAAATGAATTATATCATCAAGAAGAAAAAATTCTGATGAAAAAATCCATCATTGACTGTAAGCATTGAGCAAAATATGCTGTCAATGTTTGTTTGTTTGCTAAATGTGAGTTCTTCCAGAGTCAATATATAATGGCACGAGATAATGAGTATCATAATACAGTGATCTGACACAAAAATATTTACCCAAAAGAGGAGGGTTTGGTTCTGTTTTTCTAATTATTTCTAAATTCATCTTTCCCTTGAATTTTTGCTCAAAATGTTTTTGTTACAAAGCCATAAGACACTGTGTGATATTAAATGGTGCAGTTTCTTTGATATATGAAGTAAATAGACCAGCAATTCCTTTCCTTCATTCATGCACAATAACTAACACAAACCTCTCCCCTATGTTGATATCTAGTGTAAATGAGGTATTATTGTTTCTTTTTATTTAAAGGAATACAAGGTTACAATGACGATGCCATATTATAATCTAATTCAGTCCACTTTTAATGCATTCATCATTGTGTAATTCAGAATATGAACACAATATAATAATGAATAAATATTGCTCTGGTAAATCATACAGTTAACTTTTAAGTCTTAGAATGATTGAAAACTCAGAGAAGCTCAGCTTCTAAAAAATAAAATGCTAAGACAGGACTTCTGGAAACCATCCTTCTTGCAATGTTTTATTTAGGAAGCAGGCATTATTTCCAGAGCTGTCAGACAGGATGAGGTCAAAACCAGAATAGTATGAGAGAGATCTCAAATAATGATATTTGCTAAATATATGCCAGAAATTATTAATGTTATAGGGTGCAGATCTTCCTTCACTCACACTAGGGATGAAGAGCAGAGGATGAAAGCCAGAAAGCATCTGCTCTGCAGCCCTAAATTTCTAAAACCTCTGTATGGCAACAGCCAATCCAGTCAAGTATTGGTTGAGAAGTCTGACAGGTACACTTAGATGGCAATGATGTCATTATGCTGTTTTTTCATAAAAAAAGGACAAGCTGGTATCTTCTAACACATAAGAAAAGATCAGGAAGAATATATTAATAAAGGAGACCAAACTTCCACTAAAATGGATAGAATAAAAAGCTATGTCACTTAGAAGTGATGGTAAAAAATAATTGCATTACTAAGAAATAAAAATAGTTAACAGTTAGGTAGCAGTTCCCATTTTCATTGTATTACACAACCACGAACTAATCTGTTAGCCTTGGAAGTCCAAAACAAATACCACGTAAGAGATACAAATAATCTTGCAAAATTAACATGTAAAGGCCGCACTCTCTATCACTACATCCATAAACCAATTGTGAATTCTATTTAACTGTAGACTTTGAAATGGAGTTCCAATGGAAATGAAATGATAAATCCTTTTGGAAATGCCATGATTCAAAAGACTCATGATGAGGAGTCCTGGGATCATCATAATTCAGCTCCAGTCTTTCAGACACTGACGAAGTGTTGGAACCAAACCTTTCTTTCTCAGGTCAGTTCTTGCATGTCTGGACTTCAAAGTAGATTCTCTAAGTTATTGTTTCAATGAAAACATGAACAGTCCTTAGCAGTCCAGTAACTGAGGAAAAGGAGAAACTGAGAACAACTCACCATCTGTCTCCTTCTGTCCAGTGCAATCCTGCATCTGAAATTTGGCTTTTTAAACTCCACAGGGATTAAAGGGAACCCTAAACTTGCACTGACTGCACTATTTGATAAAATGGAAGTGCTAGTGGGATGATTAGTACAGTCTTTTGTTATTCTGCCTCATCTACAAGCTCCTGTAATTGAACCATTTAATTCAATAAAAAATGTATTAACCATATGTTCATCTGCACAGAAAAAAGAAAATAACACTACTACTACCACCATTATAACATACCAGATCAGCACAGCTGGATTTTCTTGCCGTTAGGAAGCCAAGGCAAGCTACATTATCCATCATTTTCCAAAGCTGCCATGCAGTTTCTGCTTTCTGTATAAGTGCTACAGGGAAAGAGTGTCCTGGGTTTGACAAGATGACAGCGGGAGTCGCAGTGCAGCCGCCAGCACCTGCCCGGCAAGCCAAGCTCAGACAGAATGATGTGTGACCAAGTGGGAAAGCAGCCACACATACTTTGGTAAAACAAACAGTGCAGCACTGTCTGAGTGAGGCAAACAAACCAAACTGTGAAATGATTATAGCTTTACATACCATGATAAGAATTCACAAATCATTGGTATGATAGACTACATCATAATTTCAAGGAAGGGAGTAGCAAAGAAAACTTCTTTTAGCTTAAGAATGTATAATTACTTACCTAAGATCATAGTAATGGCATTCCCTGTGGGTTTGAGTCTTTTAGTTCCTGTTTCTGCTTTTTAATAGAATCTTATGAAAGGTACAGGCCAGAGAACACCAGATGAAATGTACACTTCCCCGGATTATTCAGGAAAAGTGTAGGCCCAGTACAGGCAGTGGCCATAGAGACTTTCATACACATCCATCCAGCACACCTCTGCTCTCTGACCAGCCAGAGGGAGTGAGATATTTGATATCCCACTAAGACCAACTGGAAGGGTAGGAGAAAGCATCCAGAAAAATGATCAGCGATTTCAATAAATGGGTATAACCCAGATTTAAAAGTCTGAAATTTTGACTAGTCTAATTTATTTCACATTGCTGTAAATAGAAAGTAAAATAGAATAAACAGTAGTAACAGTTCTGTCACATATTTTCAGTGCATTTAATTTCTCTCTGCTTATTTAATATTTAAATGCTTTTGTGCATACTCCACATTTTGCCAAAATTTTTCTTTTCCTTAAACCTCCCTATTCAAGAAGTTTATTTTTCTTGCTGTCTTTAAAGTGTTCTAAGAAGCATTTTCTGGAAAGTGAGATGGCATTCTGTGGGCTTGGCTATCTGTGAGCTCAAAACTAGCAAGCGCAAGCCTTTACAGCTGAAGAATTTCACATTGCACCTGTTTACACAGACAAGAAAATTACTTACCCTATTTTTCCATTTTTTTCTGCACTGCTGTTATATATACATTAGCCTAAACAGCAGAGGGCTCCATGCAGTGATTTATAAAAGACTTTTCTAACACAGCGAATGGAAGCCTTCAGAATGCTTAATACAGTTACCTAAACTAGCACATATACTTTGCTCCAAAACTATTATTTGTTAAAATAAAAATATGCATCCTAGTTTTAAGGTCTTCCTAAGATCATTAGCAATATTATGTATAACAATTTTTCAAAACACACAAAGGTTTTTTTGTTGGTTGTTTTTTTTCTTTTCAAAATACAATAAAGAATTTCAAAAGTTCATAATGGAAGATGAAAGCATTCACAGTTTTACATTTATAGTAGCTCATATCAACTGAAGTTAGTGTAGCACAAAGTACAGGATTCCATATGAATGTTTACGTGGCAACAGGAAGCACAGTGTAATTATCAGTGAACATGACCTCAGATTTACCATAACTAAATCACACTTATATTAAATATATTACACTAAATATAGTTTTGCTTCTTTGCTGAATGAGAATACAGAACCATAGAAATCAAGCACACCACAAAAAATCCTGGCCACTGTCTTGCACACTCACAGTAGCTAAAAACAAATGACTATCATATACTTTTTATATATGTACATTTACACATAATTATATCTACATACAAATGTATGTCACATACAGTGTGACGAGTGTACGTATATAGAGCTGCAGATGAAAGTATATGTACATATACACCTATGTGTGTACACACACACACACACACACACATATCTGCAGCTACATATACATATAATTTTGTCACATTATTCCAAGTATTCTTATGAGGGAAGACTATACCTTTCACTTATTAGCTATCAACTTGATACAGATAATGTTCAGCCAAACATATCCCAGTTACACTTCAACCCAAACTCTTCTATTTTGAATCCATAAATATGTTTCGTTTTCTAAATTCACCTGAATTAAATGCCAGTGCTTTAAAATCACTTTTGTGATTAATAAATTAGATTTGCTC